TGTGTGTGTGTGTGTCTGTGTGTGTGTGTACTCGCGCGCTCTCTTTGTGCTTCGGTGGTTTCAGTTCAGTGTAAAATAGCCGGGTTCTCGCTGTGCAGCACTTCGGGTTTCAGGCCTTTGTTGCTGTGCTGCTGGCGTTGCTCACGCTCTGGCGCTGGGAAGTTAAAGCGTTCGCAGTGGAAGTCTGTGCATGTTTGTGGAAATACTTGTGTCATTTTGTTAAAGCCTCCTTTTAGCAGAAGCTAAAAGGCTACTGTTTATTTGCTTTTTCCCACCCTTTCACGAACACAGAAATGCCATAACCCTTTAAATCCTTTCCTCAGTCTTTCCCACTTCCAGCTGCAGTAACTCTCCTAATTTTCCCAGAAGAGTGAGATGCATTTTTGCTTCCCTTGGAAATGCATAAATGAGCTCTCTATGTACAGCTCACAGCTGAGTTCCCCACAGCTAGCGCCTTACAGAAGGACCTTATCTTGCAATCTACATTTCCCGCTGTAACAAAGCGTGACCTTGTTTTCATTACATAAAAAAATGTTTTTCATATAATTGCTGTGACTTGTTCTCTCGCATGAATCTCGGCTCATGTTAATAATTGCTGCTTCAATTTTCAGATAACTATTTTTTGTGAGCTGGTGGAAGAACACCAACAGAGTGCTCTTTAGGAGGGCTGCTGCATATAAGTAATGCTGCCGAGGGTTTAACAAGGGTTCTGTTGTGCTCCTCCATTGCAGAGCCAAGAGAACCTAGTGTGGCATTTTTAGATATTGAATTTAAAGGAACTTAGTAACGTCTGGATGTATCTGTGTTGATATTTAGGTGGGGATTATTTATTTTAAATACTTCTCTTTATTGTGTTGGTTTCCAAGGGATGCGAGGCACCGATAAGTTTCCAGAAAGTAACTTCAGAAGAAAGTTTTTCTAAAGTAATCTACATTTAAGTTGGAAGAATGTTTTGCCACAGTTATATGCCCTTTGAGAACAGGTTGGTCATTTTTCTACCCAAGTTGAGCATCAAGTGAGTTGAGCTTTTTGAGAGTTTCCTGATTGTTAAAACTTTGGCCATCCTGTTGAGCCTGGAGTCAAAAGCTCACACTATTTGCTGCTGTGTCCTGTATCTTAAAGCAGCATTCCTGTTTATTATCCCTGTCCCTGCTCCTCGATGAAGTTTTATGTAATCTTCTGAGTTTGGCCTGCGCCCTCCCAGCATCAGGAAAACTGATTTATGTTCGTAAAGCTCAAGATTTTCACAATTGTTTTTTCCAGAAAAGGAATTTAGGTGAGGAGCTTGCTGAGGCTTGTGAATTGCCATTACAAAAGTTAATTATTTTTTCTAAAAGCCTAAGGAGATTAGGTACCTGGCCCCAATTTAAATCCCATCTTTTTCAGGTGTGAGGACCAGCTCCTGTACTTGCCAGCCTCTGCATGTTTTGCTCACGCTTGATCTCTTGAGCTTGTAGAGGCCGCCACGTAGTTACCTGAAGCCAGTCCCCTACTACGTTCGGAAGAGGAATGCTCCTCGGGGTGTTCAGTGGAGGACGATTGTGTAGTTATTTATTTTCCCTTTAACTTGTCATCATCGTCACTTGCTCTTCTTGTTTGTCCCGGTCCAGTCCCTCCCCAGAGGGAACGCTTTGTAGTGAGTGCATCAAGGGAGGGTTGCCAGGACTGAAGGGCTGCCGGCTCTGCCGCTGCCTTGCCGTGTGGCCTCGTGTGAGTCACTTCCTCCTCTGTTCACAAGTGGAAAACAGGGGGAATGTTTATTCCATACGATTTTTGGAGTTTTGTGGAATGCCTTGAGGCTTCTGGCGGGAAGGTGTGAGGGAGGAGCGGTGCCTGCGGGGCTGTTTGGCCTGAACGGTGCCGCTAGCACGGCGGTTTGGGATGGCAGCCATCTTCCTGCTCTGTTGGGACGATGCCTGGCACCGTGGGGTTCTGGCCCGCGGTGGAGCCTCCTGTGTGTGTTGGCGATGGGAGATGGCAACTTCCCCTGCAGACTTGTGGTTTGTGAGAGGGAAAAAAAAAAAGACAAAGAGAATCCTGTGCTAAATATAGTCTGTGTCATTTGTTTTCTCTGTGGTGGCATCTATGTAAATCGCCTCTTTTGTACTGCCTTCCTTTTGACAATAAAGCAAAATCTCAGTGCTTCATTGTTTTTATTTCAGAGGTGGTGCAGAACTCTTGTTCGATGGTGTCAAAAAGCATCAGGTGACTTTGCCCTGTCAACCAGAGCCTTGTGAGTACCAGAACCTGTTGGATTACTTGAAGGAATGACAACAAAGGAAACAAAGCTGGTTTGTACAGCAGTTTTGTTAGTTGGCAGCAAGAATCAATGTATTTTAAAAGCACTTTCAGACATGCCGTGGATCAGACAGCTTGGCGATCGTTAGTCCTCCAAAGCAAATACCAAGCAGAAATAGTCTGAGCATCGTCCCTGGCTTCTAAGTGAATCGAGTCCTTCCTTAAGACACTTGCCTCCCTCCTCCTGGATAGGCAACGGCCTCGAACTTTTCCATCAAGGCTACATTTGTCTTGCTTGATACTTCAAACCACCAATAAACTTCT